TGTGTTTGATACGATACTCCTTTTTTTCTTGTATTTCATCCATTCCATTTCTGTTATTCTTTGGTATGATCTTCCTGTCGAAAATAAATTGTGTCTTGTATTGGAACTCTATTTTAGATAATTGCGGTGGTCGTTTCTACCTTATTATGTGAAGCAACGACGTCACTTCCGCCGAAGTCCTTTGCTCGGTCAAGCGTCAACGCTGTATTGTTGTTGTCTCTACTTCAATTTAAACACGGAACTTTCAAAACTTCGTCATTAGAGATGAGTTCAGAAGCAAGTGTGTAGGCTGAGCGTTCTCTTAAACAAGGTTTTTGTTCGATCATCTGTTTTGTTTTTCACCATCTTTTAGAAGAAGGAAAAAAACTTGCAGCGCTAAGTGGTGAGTACAAATTTACTCGTCTAAGAAAAGGAGCGTCGTCGAGTGGTGTGAAAAGCGCTTATCGATCTAAAGCTTATAAGAAGCGGATGATTTTGGCTAGTGAATGCTTTTCTCGTCTAAGACACTGATCATTTACTCCTAGTTTACCTCAATAACTGTACCTGAATTGTCAGACGGGATAAGAAATGAAGAGAAAAGAAAACACTCATTTGTAATATTCAATGATGTTCACTTCTTGTGGCATGCATTGACAGGAATTGAGAGAAGAACACTTAGCACAGCCACTGCATCTCACAAACGACATTTTCAAGTGCCTATTTTATATCGAACTTAGGCGGGTTACTGGCAAAGCAATGAAGTAGTAGATACATAAAAACAGCCAGCTCCTACTTTACAAGTTTCTTTAAATCCTGCTTCATGGTGGAATTGCGCCATTTTTTTACACTTGACTATAACGTGGCACCTTTTATATTTTTTACAACAGCCAAAGCTACAGTTATGTTCAAAAATTAGATACAAACGGTAGATTTAATTTGCCATCAGTCTCTGGTTCTAATAAATTATAGTGCTGATGGCAGTTAATTAATTCCGTACTTTAAATCTCATTACATTATCGTCACCACCTTCTGGTTCCAAAGTCTTTAATTATGGCGCTAATGACAGTAATTAATTTCGGATTTTAAGGTTCATTACTCCGCTGGTATCGTCTTCCTGTTATGATGCTGTTTATATCTATAGTGCTTTCTATTGGAACTGAGTAGATGGAAAGAATGAAATAAATTAAAAAGAAAGTAAGAACGAAACAAAAATACAATTAAAGGAAATATTTCACTTCATTTTCCGTTACGTTGTATTGCGAGTGATGAGGCACCACCAGTTGCCACCAGTTTCTACTTCCAAAGACTTAAATTATAATGCTGATGGCAGTAATTAATTTCGAATTTTAAGGTTCGTTCCTACCCAAAGCTAAGCTGTAATTGACTAAATTTGTCTAAAACATGTTTTTTTAATACTGACTTTTAAAACAATAAGTTTATTTTTTGTGTGTCACGCCAAGCTCTTCCAGCCATTCTAGCAAACCGGCAACACACAGAACCTTTCGTAGTTCCTTGTTAGAGGTGCGGTTATTGAGCCTTCGCACAATGTTATCTTCATCCTCATTCCCAATCACAATGTTTGCTCCTTTTTCCTTTTTTCCCCATAATTTAAGCCGAAGAAGGGAAAAGTTGCAGCATTTATTGTTGAAGTAAAGACTTCGCCAATCTAAGGGGAAGTCGCTATCAAGATACTGAATTTTTTTGGTCACTACAGTTTCTAAAGATGCTAGAAGTGTAATGTTCATATTAATAACGAGGCTTTAAGAGATGAGCCTTTCGCACAACTCCACATCTTACGCTTGGACCTATGCAGTGGGTGCTTCCAACGTTGTCCCAGCATTTGTTTGTGTTGTTGTTTTTTGCGAACAGCATAGCAAATTATAGTTCTACGGAAGTTGTTGAAATCTTTTTAAAGCTCGTGTCTTGTATTTCCTCCAAACCAAAGCTAATACATTTTTTTCTTTTTTGATTGCAGTAAAGGAATACGTCACATAGCAACATGGAAAGCGCATCAGAAGGGCAGAGCTTTGTAGATGGGAGACTCCAATGTCAGTGATTCAATTTACTGTTTGAAGAATTAGATACAGGAATCGAAATAGTGATAAACACTCAATAACGTTTCTTTTCTTACTTCCCTCCTTTACAAATATAAAGTCATATTTTCAGCCGAGGAGAGTGTTCGTGGGTAGAGATGTTAGGAATTATTTTAAAAGATTGGCAACGTAATCCAGTTGATAAATTCTTGATTATTAGTAATAAATGCCAGGTTAGGGTAGTTCTGGCTGGCATATACCTACGTTCGCCTTACCCCATATTGACACTCAATTGGGATTGATATGGAAGTAAGAACCATTTTTGAATCGGGAACAACCGTAAGTAGAGCTGTACCGGCAAAACCATCAGCAGGAAAGGGCAGCAAAAAAGGGACTAACAAGTACCATCTGAACCGCCATGTTGCATTAATTTATTTGTATTGGTGCATAAGAACTTTCACAACCGAATACCTCAAGCATCTGGTTAATCGTCTGTTAATGTCTCCTAAAACAGTCTCCTTCGGACTACTCTCATCCACGCGATTAGCCTCAACAATCAGTTGCTTCTCCTGAGCTCCAACCATTTACCGTTCATCTCTTGATGTAAAGATGGCTCACGGAACCGGATACTTAATAAAAGAGATAACGTAAGGATGGTCTCAAACTTTCATTCTCATATGTATACGATGTACCTTCATACAACACAGGGATAAAAGATAAGATGAGACGCAAGGACATTCCTATTAACGCAGAAACAAGAGGAAAAATTCGTTTCGGTCCACAAGAAGAAACAAACTCACCAGTCCATTACGACACAGGTAACTATATTTAATTACTCAAGCATCCTTTATTTACCCCAAAGCTTAAGCAAAATTAGAACCCCAGCCAAGTTGAATGTATCGCACCTTGAGTTTTGTATCAGAATCTTCAGAGGTCTTCTGTTTTATCTTAATACGGGTGAAACTCTACAAATCAGAAGAAAATGTGTTTTGGTCGTATTTCCGCTCCGTTGTTTATAAATCATGCATCACATGATATAAATCGCAAAGTAAGGACTTTCCCCACCGAAACTGACATTCCCTGAGGAATGGTATTTTTCCAGTGACTTGGAATTTTTCTCAACAATAGACAAGTGACTACTTATGAATAACTGTTGGCATGACATTTTGGTTAAAAGAAAGCCTTGTTTTTCAAAATGGAGAAACTGAACCCTTTACCGGAAAGACATTCCGGCGCTGTTTACAATCCAACAATATCTAGATTTTTCCACCACTGAAACACCTTATGGTCGAAGCAAACCACTGAGCATTGACTTCACAAAAAAATATGTCTGAGTTATCTCTGACCCTCGGTATAGTTTCTAAGATTCTGATGACCTTCCGTTGGCCATTAGAAGATTTTTTCCCCTTATGAAAATCTGTTATCCTTTAAAATTTACGTCTCCCTATTCGTTCTTCATCTTTTTTTATATTGCAACCTCCCCTTTGTCAGGAAGTGCATCATATTTTCGAAGAGACAAGGCTTGTACCTTTGTGATAACGCTCTTCACCATTTGATTTAGATACCTTCACCCTGAATTATTTTTTGAGTGCTAAAGGAGATCACATGTCATGGGAGAATATACAGAAAGTAGTTACAGTTAATGCTCTCTGCAACGCGGAAGACCCCATCGAAAACGCATTTAAGGTAAGCTTACTAAATTGAAAGAAAGTTCGATCTTTTGATAGCCATAAATCACAATTTTGTTGAGAGGGCAGTAAACCATACACGCAAATAACAGGCAGACCACTGGATACCTAAATCAGCCCACTGTTATAAAACAACCGGTGTCCGACCTTGGACACTACCATCCGAATTTAGACACTAGTGTCCAATTTTAGACCCGAAGTCCGCTTTATGACATTACAGTCCTTTTAGAGAAACGTGTGTCCAATTTTGGACACTACTGTCAGATTTAAAGCAATACTGCCCTATTTCAGACGTTAGTCCCCGTTTTAGTAACGAGTGTCAGATTTTCAGACAACAGTCTCAGATTTTGGACACTAACATGCAATTTTAGACACTGGTGTCCGATTTTTACCTCTGGCGTCCTCTTTTGGATACCAGCGTCCGACTTTAGATACTACCGTCCGATTTTAGACTCTAGAGTCCGATTTTGGACACGATTGTTAGATTTCAGACACAGCTTCCGATTTTGAACACTAATCTTTTTTTGTGCTTTCGATAAAAGTTACCTGGATTGTATAGGGTCTTCATTCCTAGATCTATTCATGCATTCATCCACTCCATCAATCTTTTGTCTGTACTTCCGATCGTTTGCTTGTTTGTTTCCTCTTTCTCATGTCCTCATTCGTTAACTCATACAGATATCATGATTTTATTTTAGTTTCCGCTTATTCTCTGTCTCAATATAAATATTAGGTCCATGCAAAACTACTTCATCTGGCTGAAACAACCACAGAGAACACAAAATCCTTGGAGAACCTAGCTGATAATGTCGAGGACTTTGCATTCGATTTCTTGGACCAAGTAGAGAGGAAGGAAGACATGCGCATCAATGATAAAGATATGGATCGATATGGTTCTCTGTTCAGTGACATGACGGATAATGCAATTGCCGAACAACAGAAAAAAGTACTTTTATGGTGTATCTACCGGAAAAAAATTGGAAACACAAATTTTAAAGTCTTTCGGTTGCTATTGAACTTAGAACCTCGAGCTCATTCTCATGAAAGTAGCATACGTATTCCAGAGATTGTGAACTTTGGCAACCGATTTTGATGAATGGCAGTGCAAATTTGGTTCAAATGTGGACCCACCATGAACACACTCATTCTAAACTATCATTTGGCTGTTTACATGCAAGGCCATAACCCCTTCAAATTAAAGCATGACGTATTTTATTGTCATTTGAGGAATATTTCATCAAGGCTAACTTTGCATCAATTGTAACTGAAATTGGTTGACCCCTGATCCCAACCTCTGGAACACTATTCGATTTTATTTTCCAAGTTCAAACAACTTCAATGCATGATATTTTACAATAGATTTCTATAACATATAGCCTGAAAAAAGGTTATAGACGAGAGAATTTGTGGATATTTCGAGCAGTACCAAATTCATGTTAATCGAATGGTTGCGATACTTGAAGCGTCGCCTTCGTAAGTGAGTTAGAAAAGTAATAAGAAGGAGGAGTATAGATATTGGTTATTAGTTAAAGTAATTCATTATTGACAAAAGTTTTTATTTTCTTCCTATCACGTTATTTCCTCAGTTCTTATCACATCCATTTGTGTTCAAAAGAGTAGAAAAACGATGGAAATATGGCTTATCGGAGGATTTCCAATTTGGAAAGCTGCACCGCTGTGTTCTATTATTGATCATGATGCTGGATACAATTTTGACGCCCCTATTGCTTCCCTTAATCGCATGTGCATTCCTTCAGGATCAGCAACAAAAAGCAGAAGGAGAGAAATCGAGATCGCTTTGCACAAGGATCTTAGGTAAATATAAAATAAGGTAAATTATAAAATTAGACACGTCTAAAAGAATGATTCAAATAACTGGTTGTTATTCATGTAACCGCCCAACATTTTCTCAGTTCTGAGGTACACATCTCTCTCCATGGGGGCATAAATTATCGATTTTGTCTACGTTATCATAAGGTTTGCATTATCTCGGATTTTAGGTAAGGGACCTTATGACACCGTCAAATGTCATTTATCTCAATACAAGCAAAGATTGGTTCTTTAAAATGTATCAGAGTTGTTTTTTGTCTCCACAATTGAACTGTCAAAACTATGATAAGGCATAATTTGACATTTAATGCACCATTCTTAATCCCGTTTTTTTACAGAAACTTATAGATGGTACTCGGATACTCCCTGCGTCATTTTCGTTAAGACACAGTTTATGCAACTGATTTTCATAGTGCTGCATTTCTGGATATCCATAAATGGTTCGTCTGTTGCTCCGACCATTGAGGAGGCCTTGGTGTTGTTCTTCTTCGTTGGATTTGTTGTCAGTGAGATCCATCAGTATAAAACATCGGCGGAAAAAGTTTACTTCAGGTAGTAGACCCTTGACGTTCAGAAGGCGAGAGAGCTTTTTAGATCACCTGAGTTTTTAAGTCCAGTATCTCTATTAAAAATAAATATAATTATTGTTAGCTCTGTTTCTCAATGTATATTTCCCAGGAAATTTTTCGGGATAATTTGGGAACACCTGAACATGATTTCCATTTTTTTCAGAAATCCCTGATTGTGAGAGTAGTCGGAAGTTGCAGTTGTATCACATGTGTAGCAAAACGAGATTCTTGCATAGTAGGAGTTGTTGCAGTTTTCTTTGTCTGGTGTTTGCTTTTCTTTAGCAATTCCAAATTTAGTGTGAGATCGGCAACAATTAAACGCTTTAAAAACCTACCTTCTTTGGTAACAGCTCTCATCGACGTTCAATTTGCATATCATAATAGACGATTCAAAATATCGAGACGAAACTTTTTAAATAACAGTTTATTTTCTTTCCATTCTAGAGACATGTGGAACTACTTAGATTTGGGGATCGTTTTTATCTATGTGGTCCTTCTCGTTTGCCGAATAGCAACTTTCATTATCGGTGGCGATTCCTTTCACAATCGCTGGTTAGAAATCGCCAATTACTCCTATGGGTTCAACACCCTGTTCCTTACTTTACGATTTTCCAGTATCTTAGAGCTCAGTTCAGTTGTCGGTCCACTTCAGCTGGCGTTATTTCAAATGTTAAGAGACTTGCTGATTATACTCATTCAGTTTGCTTTCGTGATTGTGGCGTTTTCAATGGCCATCACGAAGTGTTACACCGCTGAAAAGTCGTACATGATTCCACAGGACAGCAAATCAAATTATACAGAGTAAGCCGCTTACTTACCTGCTTCTGTGCCTTTTTGTTTTTAACTGTTTATTTGTCACTATGTAAAAAAAAATGGTGTAGGAAGGAGACGGCAACAACAGAGCAAACATTCCAAATCATTTTGCAATCCATCTTCCATCTTTAAAGCGAGAATCGTCAACCAAGGATGAAAGCTCTATGATATTTTCTGAGAACTAGCTCGTTCAACATTTCACTCTTAAAATATTTACGGCCAACACATTATGAGTAGACTCTGACAAAGTTTTATTAAAGAGAGCAATTTGTCTCTCTCATTATTTTGAGAAAGGACCCTTTTGCCTATGGACATGATATTGGATCAGTCTAGCTTGAAAAATTAGATCGACTTTTTGGATCATCGCTAGAAATGGTGTTAAGGTCAGGGGTACACATAAATAGGCATCATTGATGATAGTCTTCTACTCAAGTTGTCTCTTGCTGTTTCCTTCCCATACTAACATTCTATTTTTTTTTCGACCATTTTACCTTATCAATATAAACAAAGGGATTTTTCCTTTCTTCTTTCCCAGGTATTGTGTTCCAGGAAATTTCGACTGGTAGGTCATTTCCCTTTTACTTAAAGCTCAAACAAGGTCGAGAATGAAGAATCAGATTTTTATATCCTCTCGTCAACTGACCAAAACGTAATTTATTTCATTTCCTTGAATGGAACGTAAAATTGCTCTATTTGTCAATACCTTTAACAATTCCAATACTGATGAATTAACCTAAGAGTGAAAAATTATCTAACCTGCCTAAAATTTGGCTCGTTTTCGAGAAGAGTATACATTTCAGCAGCGCATTTGCCCAAAATCTGCTAGTAGGGTAACAAGTTAGCTAAGAAATACATACACTTTTTAGTACAATGATGTTCATTTCATGGCTTTTTTTTTAACGACATACTACACTCACAAGCATCTCCTTCCGTTACTTTCAGTTTCTTAAAGTCTGCAATACATCTTGTCTGGTCTGTTTTTGGAATGACCCATTTCGAGGAGATGGAATCTCAAACTAGTACGACTACGATCATCGTTGTTCTCCTGTTCTTGTGTTTTTTGGTGCTATCAGTCATCATGTTGGTTAATATTCTAGTCGCCTTATTGACAGCGACATATGATAAGTACAAGGTTTGTTTTAATTAGTCAAGCAAATTATATATATGATCAGAAAAGAAAAATATTGATATATTTGTTAGTATGATTTTATGTTTGTTTTTCACGCCGCTGGATTTAAGTTTAAGTTTTATTTGGAATCATTCAAATGAAGAGGCATACTTGTTGTCTTTGCTTCTTATTGTTTGTTTTCATCGCTAAGTGAGACAACTGCGTATTTGTTAATGTACGCGTTCAAGTTTTCAACGTGCTCATGACCTTTGCAGCAACCTCCTACTCGTCTCGAAACAGCGTAATAATGACTCAGCTCGTATACCCAAACGCGATATTACGTTACTTCTAATGCACTTCCTCTGACACAAACAATTTGTTTTATGACTCAACTATACAAAAAAAAAAAAGATCTATCCGAAGTTTTTTCTTGATGATATAGTAATGATCAGCTTTCATGCAGCATTGCTTTTGTATCCTCACTGTTAAGAACGGCTGGGAAATAGAATGGAAATTCTCACGCTCTGTTATGGAGGAGCAATATAGACGAATGCACGTGGTTGTTGTACCATTCAACATACTTACTTTGCCAATAGTGTACTTGTATTGGGGACTTCACGAAGATACCGGAGAGGAGGTACTAAACCAGTATCAGATCGGAAAAGAGCTTGCCAATTAAGATTAGCCATAATCATCATTATTTTAGTGTATTAATGATGTACATGGAAAAATCGCACGCGTCTGATTGGCTGAAAACGGTGGCATTTTTTATGAAACACGAGTGCAAAGTTGTAACACGAGTGCAGGTTACAAATAGCGCGCGCACTCTTTCAAAATTTCGTTTGTCTCGAGTTTCTGTGATGTTTTTCATGTACATTATTTACAAGTAATAATATGATTTATCTTAAAATCTAGTGTGATAAACACTCGTGAGCAAGCACTTGCTACAAGAATGTACTTGTGCTTATTGACATCAAATTGCACTCGAAATCATGTTGTTACCTATACCTTTTTTTAGTCCTCAAATTATGCTTGCCGCGCCCAGATGTAATTCATGTATCCTTTATCCAGTGCAAAAAGCTTATCGACATGTGATGCTGTTGTTGCTTCTTTCTAATCGATTCCGCTTCGCTTGTTTGTTTGCATGTTTTTGGAATTTATGTTGTGCTTGTTTGCTCTGGCTTTGTTTCTTTTGTTTGTTTTTTTTTCTGTTTGTTTAATAATTTGTGAGCGGTCGCTGTTGCACCGTTTGTTTATATTCCATTTTTGCTTTTTGCCAAAATTAGTCTCGCCTATTGTGCTTAAGACTAACACCAGTTATTTGCTGTTCTTGTTTTTGCTTATAAAGAGAAAGGAAAGGAGGAAAAAGGAGTACAAAGATTTCTTGAAGAACGATTTTTTTCCTATAATAACAAACCGCTATAAAGAGAAATATAAAGGATCGTTTCCTTCAACAGGTAACGCTTTAGTAAATAACTCTTTATGATTATTGTGCAGAAAAAGTTTAGAAGATTCATACGAGAAAATGGGCGAACTTATGAAGATCATCTAAATCTGTTGAACAATTACGTACGGATGAATTTTTTTTTTTTCATATATAGTTTTTAGCTCAGATTTATAAAAGATGTTATCGTCCACGGAGATACATATATATATATACATATATGAAGTTTAATCGTTTGCCTCACGATGTAGAGTCAGGCTATCAATTGTATATATTGTGAAACAAACAATTAAATCTTCTTTAATCAAACTAGCTTTTCTATCATTTCCTGTCTCTCGGGAAAAAAACCAAATACATAAAAATAAATCAATCAATGACTCGAAATCCACAGACGAAATATTTTCATCGCCCAATTAGGGCGTTACAACGTTCAGCCAAATGCCATCTAACCTGGATAAAAAAAAAACATACTTCTCATCTTTGCTTCTCACTGTTTGTTTTCATCGCTAAGTGAGACAACTGCGTATTAGTTAATGTACGTCTTCAAGTTTTCATTATGTTTATGACCTCTGCAGCAGCCCCATGCTCGTTCCAAAACAGAGTAATAATGACCCAGCTCGTATACCCGGACGCGTTACTACGTTGCGTCTAATGCACTTCTTCTAACATAAACAATTTGTTGTAGTCGATAGTAAACTGGATACCTTGGAAGAAAACCTGAATAGAGTGAAAAGAGAACTTGAAATACCCGAGGAAAAAGAACAAGTAAGACCCATTTTTTCAGTCTATGAAGCGCTTCGCAGCATAGGTTCAGTGCGTCGGTGTGCTAATTGTTGATTCATAGATACGTGGTGGCTCCTAAACGCGCACTTTTTTATTGCTCTTATCTCATCACCAGTCGGAAATATTTTGTTTGTTTTTTGTTGCTTTTGTTGTTTCATATTTGTTTTGTTGGTTGTTTTGTTCTGGTCTGCATGTCAGATCGCAAAGTCCCTCAGACACTTGGAATTCAGTTGTCTTCAGAAAGGCGAAGCCGAACTAGGTTACCAATGGGTACTTTTTATGCCACTATTTGTTACATATAAACGACTGACGTTACTGAAATTGTTGTTGTTCTTGCTGCTGAATTTTTCCGTGAAATACTCTTTAACTATTTCTAATATTATGGGAAAATTTGTATTTTTCTTTACAAATTCAGGCATAATATGCCAACGCTTTTCGAATTACCTGTCATTACCGCTTATCTTTGCATTGAGAATCCATACACTTCCTTTGCTTATCCAATATTCTATTGTTTGTGTGCGAAATAATAGGGGAGTCAAGAGCCAAATCGGGTCGTCTCCGTGAAAAGCAGACTGGAGAGAATTGAAGAAAAGCTGAACATAATTATCGAAAGGCTGGGGCAAACCAAAGAACAGGTCAGACTTTGTTTGTAGGTATTCTATTTCAAACTGCTCATATAGCGTCACATGGATTAATATGCACGTTTAGCCATGTGCAAAAAGCAAGCGATAATAGACTGTTTATAATCTCTTGCAGGAAGTAAATATAGCTAAATCTTTGGATATAGAAATGTTGACAACCACATACTTCTTATTCCTTCTGCTGTTTAAACTATAGAGTGACGGAAAAGGCCAACACAAGATGGCGGCATGGATGACTCTGTTAGCTTTCTTCATAACATCTTTGAAATCTTATTGACCAATTAAACTACTTGGCTCCTATTGTATGTTGGCGCTCAAGCTCTTCAGAAGGGTCCCTCATTAACAACGGTGATTGCAGATGTACCTTCGTCCTCGCACAATGTTTCAAATCAGTCATGTGCATCGAACAGTAATTACAATAATTATTAGGAAAAAATTTTAATGGATAAGCTAAATTGATATATATTTTCTCTCCTTTTAACCCATCAGGCAAAGAGAGAAACGAAGAATGACAACATCAGAACCCCTCACATGCAAAACTCTATAGAGGACAATGGCCAGGATTGTCATTTGTGAATCAATCGACATTTCTGATGACTATTTCCTACTCAGCAATTTCCTACCACTAGACCTATAACTTTAACTTTAATACTAACTCCTAATTAGTTACATTAAACAAGTCAGATCAATCAATTTGAGGACAGCTTAAAACAAAATGCAAGATTTCTTAAAATAAGCCGCCTTAATTATTAACCTAGATAAAAAAAAATCAGTTTCAAAGACTTATCACAGAAGAATAAAAAATCACTCCAAACTCATAATATAAATAAGATAATTACGATAAAAAATTAGTACAGACCTTATTATAAAAATAATTAATGATAGATTTGCCCATGGTTTACAACTTGGGCAAATGGGTTGTGTGGAGTTGGTCAAATTTGATTTAATATGTCAGAAAATGTGTGTGAGCTTGACATTAGAAAAATTCGAATCTAAGCGCAAATGGGTATAAAAATCAAATTTTTCACGTTGCCATCAGCTTTGACATCGGTTATTTTTCCTAATATTTTTATCACTTTGCTATGACAACGGAGGATTAATGAAGTCTGTAAACGCTTTTGCTCCACAGATGGCATACATTACGCCTCAAAATTATGCTTGATTGATTATGCTGGATTGTTGCTTTGATTCGGATCGGAGTGAAATGCAAAAGCTGCTTAGTTAAGTTTGACATTGTAAAATTTTGTATAGAATTTTTACTTGTTCCAAATAATTTTGGATGCTAGTCTTATGAAAAAGTATTTAATCGATTTTTCCCCTAAGAACGACCGCCTTCCCTAATGTGAAATCCTTGCGTTTCTATCGGAGGTTCGGTTTAATAATTATTATTTATCTAAAAATATTATTTTTACAAACTCCCTATAATCAAGTAAACTAATTTAAAATTTTATCAGTTTTTTTACCATGAGAAGATTTATACCTTCCTCAAATTTTTTAAATGTAGCCCTCGCCTGTGACAAACAGTCCCTTCGCCGAGAGTGTTTTAGAAGCGTTTAACCCCAAATGTGTTTTGTTAAACCGGCTTTATCTATATGACAATTAGAAACAGAGAACAGATTCAGAAAAACTTAATTTTCCATAGGTTTTACTGAGGTAGTGACTCGCTTATGTTTTCTGTGTGCTCAACATGAAGGTGAAGGTGGTGGTTTTAGCAGCTTCTATGAAAAAAAACAATTTTAAACCTCGTTTTTAAACATGTTTAAGCTTTGGTGTGAACAGGGTATTAGTTACAATTGCCATTGCCTTGTATATAAGACGCGTTTTCGACCAACAGAAATAAAGAGTGAGTATCAGTTCACCTCTCTCAGCGAGAGGGCTCATAGGAAGATGCCTAGTTTTCTAATTGGTTTTTTTTCTATCCCTATGGGCTCTGTGTTGAATGGAAAAACGCCGATTCCTGAAGAAATTGGTAAGCTACACGTTCAGCTATTTTACTCCTTCATTGGAAATTATTAATGAACGAGGGCGAAAATATCTCTCTTAGTTTAACACAGCATGGAAAGATCGCTTCTGAAAGTAAAATTGATGCTCAAAGATGGAGATTTCATTTTTTTTTTACCACGTTTTCCAGTTAATCGACTATAACTTTTGCCATCCCAACCCTCTTAAAAACTTTGGCGCCACTTACCAATTTTAGATGTAAATATTTTACTTGTCAGCGGTGTTCCCAGACTATCGCTACCACACGCACAGTATTTTTAGAAATATAAAACATGTAAGGGAAGACAGAGTTGACCTCAGTTCCATTCAAGGATGATAACATAGCTGCAAATGGAAATGAACCATCTTTCATGATACCGTCCACGCTAGTCCCAAATGGGCCGAAATGTGTTCTAACCTTGTCTTAAAGTGAAAAACAAACAAATCTCAGACGCAATCTTCAATGATTTTTATTTTGCTTTGGCAAACATCATCAAATGAAGAATTCATGACAGATAAAATGTAAAGTATTCAAACCGAGAGCGACGAGAGAGGGTAACACTAATTTTTACACATCTAATTAATGCACCTCTTCGCAACTCATAAGCTCAAGAGAGAAGAAGAGCTTTTTCACTATTTCCTAAGCTTGACCTCAACACTGAAGCCATTCTTAAGGTTGCTAAAGACAATTTTGTTGCCTTTAGGTCGCTTTGGATTGGTGGATTTGACCTGAACTGTTGGCACGTACTCAGCTGGTGATCCATGCACCATTGGTTGCGCCGGAAGTGTCTTGCGCACTCTTTTCCTCAGCCCCACAGTGATTGAAATTTCCTGGCTTTCTATATGGTAATATTCCCGAACTCCGATATCTTCCATTGTCTTGAGATGGCCAGAATTAGGAAACGCCAGGTCAGGATGGCTGACGCTAAGATAGAGAAACTTCCCATCTTCTCTAGCCATGATAAGGCATGGTTTGTTGGATGACCTGATTGGGCCATCTGAAGGAAGCGTTGTCGTGGATGAAAATATCACATAGCCAAACTGAGGTGGACTCACCTCCCGCCAATCCACTGTAGACATTTCAAATTTGACCACATGTGCTACTTCGTTCTTCTGTAAGACTTTGTATACTTTTTTATTACGACTACTTGCCTGAAAATTCCAAACGAATTCAGCAGACTTGGGGTACGATGTTGTTTTTACGTAAACAGCGTACTCGTAATTGTCATTAGAAGGACTGTGCTCAAGCCAAGCTGTGGCGTAGCGACCACTTGATGGCTTAGCTGCTGGTGTTTTTGAGTTTTGATTCGCAATATGAACTTTGAGACTGGAGGCACTCGAAGCCGGGATATAGTAGCTGTTACCTTTGGTGTCAAGGAGACGTATGTAGCCTGCTTTTGAATTCAAAGGTGGCACCGTTGCTGCAAATGTAGATGAACCATCTTTTACGACGCCGTCTACCTTGATTGAGAATGATCTCATCTGACCTCCGGTATCGACCCTTTGAACCTTGTCTTGAAATAGAGTTGTCTGGGCAATTTTCCCTTGTCCGTTTCCTATTCTTATATTACTGCCTAGGCAGACAATCACGTTCTGAAAAAAGAAAACTGACTTTTTGAAATAAAGCTTTATATTGGGAAAAGAGCTGTGTGAGAATTGGTAATCTGGTTGGTAAAAGTCCATGCCAAAAACACCGTTTGACAAGGCTTCTGGTCCTTTGAAAGTAACTCCACCAGCAAACGATCTTGGACTGAAATACCTTGCTTTCTTCACTCGCGTTTCCTCAAGAGTCAGGGACATAGTAGTGGCACCAGGAATTCTTGTCCAATCCCACCCCTCTTCTACATTATGCGCTAAAAGGGACCCCTCGCTGTTAGCTATAAGCATTTGACCATAACTTTGGAAGATACCGTTAGGGTTTTCTGAAGGACCCATTTCAAAATCCCAAACAAATTTGTTGAAGCCTTTAACAGTAACTGCCCAATCTTCGCGACGATGTACGGAAAGAGCTGCAAAGTTCTTAGACCAATGACCATTTGGAGAGGATTCTGCAGACATACCCTTCTCAACGGCTTTGTTGTGCGCCTGTTATGAGGAATATAGTTTCAATTTTACTATTTCAATAATAAAAAGACATTTCATCCGAGGGACATATTTAAAGTTGAATGGGAGATAGTAAAGGACAATTACTTTCCAAAAGGTCCGTAAATGATATGAAAAATAAAATCTGCAATCTTTGAGAAACCTGACAGAATCACGGTTTACTAAATGAGAGTTAAAACGTGTTACGAAAGAGAAAATATTTTTAAGGTGACGAGCTTTGCTCTTTAAACAATTTATCCAGCTTAAGTTATACACACCTATGTTATTATTTAGATTATAATCCGAGCACTGATATTGTCTTAAACTGTAAAGAATAGAACGCATAAAATACACGTATGTATACACTTACTTGGATCATTATATCTAAAGATCCCAATGTATTCATATATGATTTTCCTCGCCTAATTCCTCCACCACCTAGATACTTAGATATTTTTTTGTCGGAAGGCTGATATAATCGTAAAAACATCGTTGCATCCGCGTTTAGGTCAGGGATATGTATTCTTGGCAATGGATTCTGAGTTCTTGAACACTGACGGGTAACGCTCACATAGGCATATGCAGGAAGTATGTTGACCAGGACTTTCCTTGAAAAGCTAGGAAAGCGTCCTCCAACACTGTTTGGTGTAGAGTATTTTACAGCTGTCACCCGGAGAGTCTTTAGGGTCTTGAGTAAATTTTGCTTAGCAGTGCTTGATAAAGCATAGTCCGTTCCTTCTAATAAGTACTGCAGTTGCGCTGCTGTATGCAGTGCTTGAGGTATATATGCGGATGCATAGAACCCCATGTGATGAAAACCAGTAAAATCCGGCTTGATAACTCCTCCGAATGCTTTGTTGACGGCTAAAGCATTCTCCATCCATAGTTTCAAAGCATCCATGTCTCTTTGCCTTGCCTTCTGTTCATCAGGGGTATCTATGGGCATCATCAAAACAGTCAAAAGACGAAAAAGCATTGTCGTAATCATTCTATCGGCGTTTGTTCCCTTGTACTCGTACGTGCTTTGGTACACCTCTCCAAAGTAGTTGTACCATTTAGCGGCATTGACTAAATTTAGAAGTCTGGTCTTGTTTGCATTGTTTTCATGAAGAGACTTCTTGAGAAGGAAAAGGGTGTGCATGTATCCTGCTCCATTCTGGTTCAAATCTCCTCTTATGGAGCCAATGGCACTACCATCCGTCCAACCTTGGTCTTCGACGAAATCCAACAAATTTATGACCCGTTGAAGACGAGCTTTGTTTATATATTCTAATGACTCACGGACTTTCGCTTTTGTGTAAGGCTTTCCTTTGGATTTTAGGTAGTTAAGGAACTCGTCCTGTCTGGGTTTGTGCTTTCCAGCGATTCGTTTGAGAGATTTTTTTACCTTAGCGGAAGCAGAAGAGCCTAGTTTTTTTAATTCCTTGCCCGCTGTCTTATCTATCTCAACCTGGCGGGACCGTAAATAATACTCCTGCGCCAATGGAAGCATAACATTTGCCATGACAAAGCTAAACTTTCTCGTTTGATCCGCGGCGGAATACTTTGTTGTTCCCTTTTTACAGCCATAGCAAAACAGTGAAGGGCCACTAATCACTCTTTTCCCTCCTGGTGCTGTTTTAAATATGAGTTTATCATATTGCTCGTGTGCCTTATCAATACTTCTCGTCAGTGACTTCCAGCGTTTATCGAGAAACCCGGTGAAATCGTAACTGGTTTTTTCTTCACTGCAGTAGAAATTTCGAAGACGACTTTCGATATGATTGAGACCTTCTGTTTTAGATGGATCGACCGTTGTAGGAAGATTGGTAGGCTGCTTTGTACTCCAACGATATAATTGCCGAGCGGTGTTGATTTCAGTCTTGTCATATCCCTGCTGGTTGATTGGAGGAACTATTTTATCGCGAGTTTGGAAGCTCATATGTTCCACAAAGTCAATCAAATCAAAATAGATGGTATCTTTATGGCTCACTGAAAAGGTGACTTTACTCAACCTGTAGGAACTTAAGGTAGTGATTGACGATGATTTACATTCGGAGTATGCCACCCATACAGCTCTCCAGCCTTTAAATCCGAGATTGACATCAAAAGCTCCAAACGAAGTCTTCTGAGTTTCATCTCGTAGATTAACAGTCAACATCTTCCCATTGGAAGTCTCTTTCTTGTATAGCCACAACTTCATACCTCCCCGCTTGAGTTTATTTCCTGTAATGATAGATGAGGAAGGCCTGGTATAAGCTAGCACCGACGAACCAGCTGTGGCGCCCACCCACTTGAGAGAACGCTGACCACTCTTTGCCTTTTCTGTAGATAAGGATCGTGAACCGCCTCCAGCAGCTGAGAAGCAGTTTAGCTGATTCATGTCCTCAAAATCTAA